TGATCCCTCACTTTTAACTGTGCTGGGAGATGGGTACAGATTCAGGTATTGTTTGGTGTCACAAGGTTTAGATGAGGCAAAGCTGCTAATGGACAAACTACAGGGAGAGAGGAGGGCTCTTTTCATGGAAGGTGGGGACTTGAGGCAGATGGGCTACTTGAAGCTTTCTTCCTGTCACTTCTCAGCCGGACTCTAACCTTCCTGTTTGAGAGGTTCTCCTCAAATATAAATTGAAGGCTTGTACTGCTGAGGGTGCCCCTGAGGTCTCGTGGACAGATGGGACATCGCCCGTGGCAGTGCCAGGTGACCTCAGTGCAAGGTTCCTCCCTCCTCAGGTCTGCCAGGTGGCCTCACAGTCAAACAGTGGGCTGTCCCCTTGAAAGCCCTTATGGGACATTGGATAGGAGACGTCGTCTTGAGTGAGAGAATCTTGGGGACATGGTGCCCTTGGGATCTGTAGAATTCTGTGGCATCTACCTACTCGCTGGGTTTACAGTCTCCTTTGTATGTACGGAAGCAGTGAGGCAGGTGCTATTTTAGGAAAGGCTACAACGAGGATCCTTGGTGGTGGTTTGTCCTTCTTTTGTGTTTTGGTTGGTCACATGGCAAATTTGCTGGAGGTTCTTTTGCTTGAGCTTTTTCCTGCAGAATGTAGCTTGTACTCATGCGGTGAGGCTTACATGTGTGTCCAGGCATTTTACCTGGAAGGAATGGCAGTACCTGACTCCTCGTCCAGAGAAACTCTGGCGGGAGTTCATGTACGACAACTGTAGGAGTTTCACATCGCTGAGCTTGGTGTTTCCACCCTTCTGAGCAGAGTCAGACTCTCCTGAGGCCAGTCTGGATGGATGCCTTGACCCTCACTGCTTCATTTCTGAGGGAGGGCACCAGGAGAACCGCATGGCGTCTCGGTTAATTAGCTCAGGAGGGAAGGAGGGCAGAGTGCAGCACTGCTCCCTGTGTCCCCTGCTTGTCACCGTCACCATCCCTCTGCTCTCCAGTGACATCTGCGGTGCACACGTTCTCAGGTGCTCAGGATTGATTGGGGAAGTCACAGCCATTGGAGGATTGCATCTGTTTAGTTCAGTTTCACCTCTGTGCAATGTGCCGGATTCTGGGATCAGTTTGTCATTGCAAGAGGAGCAGGAAAAGAATGTTTTCCCAACACTAACCAGTTTTGTTATCATGAAAAATTACAGACATACACAAAGGAAGATAGATTAGCTTATTCATCATTTATCCATCACCTAGAAGCAACAGTTACAACAATCCTCCCTCATTTGCTTTGTCTGTCGTTTTTATTTTGGCCAAAGCATTTTAAGACACATCTCAGACATCATGTCCTTTCATTCTTACAGACTTCAGTATAAATCTCAAAAAATACAGACATTTGTTTACACAACTGCAAAGGCATTATCACACCGAATACAGTGAACAGTGTTCCTTGTGTAATCTGATACCTAGTCCCTAATAGTGTTTCCCCAGTTGTCCGTTTTAGCAGCTGGCTTATTTGAATCAGATTCCGAAGAAGGTAGGTCTTCAAGTTACATTTGGCTGTTAACGGTCGTTCTATCTCAAGTCTTTGTAATCTAGAGCAGCCCGACCCCCCCTCCCCCTTTCTCCATGCCATTTACTTGTTGCAGAAATGGGTAGCTGTCCTGTGGACTGCATCACATTTTGATATTTTTCTGCTGGTATCCTGGTAGTTCTTCTAGCCCTCCTAGTTCCTTCAAATAAAAATGAGTCCTGGAGGCGTGTTTGGCAGGAATGTTGCAGGTGACGCTGTGTGTTTCCTGTTGCCTTGGAGTTACGCTGACATCATGGATTGGTGGGTTCAGGGGTTGACAGCCAGATCCTCAAAATGTAAAAGGTTCCTGATCAGCCTTTCATCTGATGTTTTCTCCCATTTCTTACCGTGGTCTGAATCAGGCATTTTGTTAGGGTTGCATGTTTCCTAGCTGGATTGTTGCATCATCTTGAAAGATAGTTCATAGACGAAGGATTTTTCATTCTTTCCTTTTAGTTGCCAAGTGTCAAAAAAGGTAAAAGTTGGTGTCCTATAACTTTCAGTTTAGTCTAGTGCCTTGAGTCTGTCTCTCTGCCTCTGTCTGTCCCTCTCTCTCTTTTTCCGCTCCTCCCCAACCCTTGTCGTTGTGAACTCGGGGGTTTTGTATATTTAGTGTGTTTCAGTGGATTGCATTCATTATTCCTTCTGATGCTTAGTTGTCCCATTTTTGGCCAGCAGGAGTCTCTTCATGACTTGGCATCTGTTTTCCTTTGCCATGACTCTTACATTCTGGCATAGCAAGGTGTCCCAGGCTCACTTTATAAAGTGCTGCTCTGGCCTTGAGACCAGGCGTTCTGCAAGGATCCCTGTGCCATTTGGTGGAAAAGGGTCTATAAGGGAAGGGACCATTGCTGTCGGTTGTCATTGCTTCCAGGCCTTTTTGATGGTCAGCCTTAAGAAAAAAAAAGACATGAATTCAAACTGATGTTTCTAAGTCAAATTTTACGTTATAGGATTTTTTTCCTTACCTTTGATTTTATATTTGTGTCTCATTTGTTTCACCTCGAATCTTGGTTCCTAACAACATTACCGTAATGACTTATTTGCATTATCCTACTTTATAAAAACACCACCGTTATTATAAGTAAGTTAAACTATTGAAAGAAGTTTGACTTCTTTGCAGCTTTATTTATCAACAGAATGTCCCCCTGAGTATGTATGATCAGTCTACTGTACTCAAAAGTCATTTGTGGATATGTCACCAACTTGAAAGTTAAGGTTCATTTTCCTCATTTTGTTTTCAAAATTTAGGGATTGCTTTTCTTGTTTATTTAGTTTTATTTTTTGAATATATAAACATTCATATGTCTCCAAAGTCAAAACTACATCACAAGGTACATTCAGAGAAATTTTACTTCATCCTTTTCTCCTTCCTCCCATTTAAATTCATTTTGTATTAAACAGAAATAGACTCACAGACATAGAAAACAAACTTACGGTTACCAAAGGGGATAATGGGGGTGGGAAGATAAATTAGGAGTTTGGGATTAACATATTCACACGACTATATATAAAATAGGTGAACAACAAGGACCTACTGTACAGCACAGGGAACTATACACAATATCTTGCAATAACCTTTGATGGAAAATAATCTGAAAAGGAATATATCTGTCCAACAGGATCCCTTGCTGTACACCTGAGACTAATAGAGCATCGTGATTAACTCTCCTTCAATAAAAACTGCATCTTGTGTTATCCTTCTCCATGTTTACTTTCATGCATCATGTGAAGAAATATTTAAATAATTCATGTTCCCCTCCTTTTTTGCACGAAAGATAGCATGTTCGAGCTATCATTCTATGCCTTGTTTTGTTTTGTTTTTAACTGAACAGTGTTATCTGGGTTCACTCATATCAGTACATCATGCTCTTCCTCATTCCTTTTTATTTATTTTTGGTGGTACGCAGGCCTCTCACCGTTGTGGCCTCTCCCGTTGCGGAGCACAGGCTCCAGACGCGCAGGCTCAGCGGCCATGGCTCACGGGCCCAGCCGCTCCGCGGCACGTGGGATCCTCCCGGACCGGGGCACGAACCCACGTCCCCTGCATCGGCAGGCGGACTCTCAACCACTGCGCCACCAGGGAAGCCCCCTCATTCCCTTTTTTAAATGGCTAAGCAGTAGTTCACTGAATGAAGTCCCATAGTGATTCAGCCACTCCCCAGTGGACGGGCCTTGGGTTGCCGGCAATTTTGCTATGACAGGTACTGCCTCAGTAAACTGAGCCATCGGTCATTCCTATTTTGCAGTATTTCTTGGAATAGAGCTCTAGAAGTGTGATTACTGGGTCAGAGGATAGATGCATATATACTTTTTCAGACATTGACTATCTTTTTTTTGCTGAAATTTTGTTTATCTAGTTGAATTTCATTATTCTAACACTTCCATCTAGAAACAGTGAAATTTATTTTGCAATTTTAATGTTGAAGAAATCTCAATCTCTCATGTACCCTATCTTTATATAAAACATTATGGAGAGTGTTATTTTAAGATCTGTTAATTTCATTAATTAATTGAAATATCACTTACTGAGTATAAAGTACAGAGCATGAAAAGGTGGCTAAGGCATCCTAAACCTCAAAAGATTTCAGATTGAATATTTTGGAATTTTCTTCTGTTTCCTCTCCTTCTATTTGGTATATATTTTGTCCCATGTTGGTTATCAAAAGCCTGGTAATAAGGCACTGGAAAATGTACCCTTATCTGCTGTACCAGAAGAAAGCAGGCCATGTCTGCAGGAGAGAGGAGGTGTCATAAAGTACTCTGTAGATGCATTCAACAAATACTAACTGAAACACCTCCCCACCTCCCCTTTGCCAGAATGTAACAGCGAGCAACATACAGAGTTCTTCCCTCCTGGCATTTATAATCTAGTACCAGACACAGAACAAGAAGCAGGGAACAATAAGATAATTACAAGTTCTCTGCGCTTTGAAGGAATCAGATAAGAGGTTAAAATAGAGCCTTAGCCAGGGGCCTTGTTTACGTAGGGGAGAGGCGGCTGACACACCAAGCCACGCGTGAGGTTGGGGAGCTTGGGGGCAAGGTCGTGCAGGACCTTGGTTTTTAGGTTAAGGATTTGGACTTTAAGCACATCAGGAAACCATGGAGGACAGTTAAGCGAGGGAATGACATTTGATGCTGTCATGCATTTATTCTTTCTGTGGATTGGGAGGTGACTCGATATTGTGTTTCAGCTCCAGAAGCAACGTTTTCCCTTCTGAAGTTCCAAGTGGAGTGCGTTCTCCTTTGTGTGCCTTTTATGCAGGACAGCTGCTTCTCATGCTCACGTGTAGGTCTTCTGAGGATTTTGCTTTTCTTTTTCCATAGTATTCCCTTGATGTTGCTCAGATAATTACAGTAAGTGGTTGTAATTGGATTATGTACTTGGGCTGTGAACAGGAGCATGATATCTACAAATTCTCTTCTTCAGACCTGCAAATCCAAGAGACACGTCTCTCTGGAAGATAAGAGCTCCTTCCTCAAGATCAAAAAAGGTCTGTGTTACTGCTGTCACGTTTATAAAGTTAATTATGGAATCCATAGCAATTTTCTGGACAAGAAAGGCATTTTCAGTGTATTTATGTTTCTGTTACAGGAGACTGCCGGAGTGACACCTGCGTAGGGAATCCTCACCAGGAAGGACTGACACACCTGGACCCAAGGCGCTGGCTTCCCTGGAGGCTCCTGTCTGATGTGCAGGAGGCAGGATGTCATTGTGACTCTGCGAGGGGAGGCTCCTGGTGACCGAGACCAGCACGCAGTATCGCACCCTTGGCTACAGGGGACGCTGTGCAGGCCTTTTCCTGCAACTGAGAAGTACGAGATTATTCTGCAAGAGGAAGATTCCAGGGGCTTAAAAACGCAAAGGTTTCTACCTTGGGAGCCCCTTGGAATGTTGGCAGCTCAGGATCTCAGAGAAAGTTCTGTGTTAACGAGTTACAGAGTCCACGTGGAAGTAAATGTCACTTTCTAATCAATAATAGTACCGAGTGAGGAGCACTATGCAGGGAGGAACCTTCCATAGAAAGACAGGCAGGGGAGAGCTTAGGCCGGCCTCGAACCTCCCGAGCAGAGCCAGCCTGAGATAAGCACCAAAATGGCCAAGTGAGAGACTCTGTGAAATAGCAGCCCTGTAACTGTAGTAGTTGTGAGGAAATCTTCTCTGCGAAATCACGATACCAAATAGGAAACATGATCTACAAGTGCCCCATGTGTATGGAATTCTTCTCTGAGAGAGCAGATCTTTTTATGCATCAGAAAGTTCACACTGCTGAGAAGCCCCATAAGTGTGACAAGTGCGACAAGGGTTTCTTTCATCTGTCAGAGCTCCATATCCATTGGAGAGACCACACGGGAGAGAAGGCGTATAAATGTGATGATTGCGGGAAGGACTTTAGCACCACGACAAAGCTCAATAGACACAAGAAAATCCACACGGTGGAGAAGCCCTATAAATGCTACGAGTGCGGCAAAGCCTTCAACTGGAGCTCACATCTTCAGATTCACATGAGAGTTCACACAGGTGAGAAACCCTATGTCTGTAGTGAGTGTGGAAGGGGCTTTAGCAATAGTTCAAACCTCTGCATGCATCAGAGAGTCCACACCGGAGAGAAGCCCTTTAAATGTGAAGAGTGCGGGAAGGCCTTCAGGCACACTTCTAGCCTCTGCATGCATCAGAGAGTCCACACAGGAGAGAAGCCCTATAAATGCTATGAGTGTGGGAAGGCCTTCAGCCAGAGCTCGAGCCTCTGCATCCATCAGAGAGTGCACACCGGGGAGAAGCCCTATAGATGCTGTGGGTGTGGGAAGGCCTTCAGCCAGAGCTCGAGCCTCTGCATCCATCAGAGAGTGCACACGGGGGAGAAACCTTTCAAATGTGATGAGTGTGGGAAGGCCTTCAGTCAGAGCACCAGCCTCTGCATCCACCAGAGAGTGCACACAAAGGAGAGAAACCATCTCAAAATATCAGTTATATAAAGCATTTTGCTAAGAGATAAAAATCTTAAAACCCATAAGTGCCACTAGGAAGGAAAACCCTGTAAATACCTACATTGACCCAAGAAATTTTTACAGCAAGCCCAGCAGAACATTGTTTTCCAAGAGGCGCGTGTGAGGTTGATTTTTTGGATTCATGCCAAGTGTGTTCCACAGCTTGACTTTGAATCTGGAATCCCTCCGCGTGTTTGCCCAGGACAGGCTGTGAGGTCCCAGTCGTGGGTGTGCGTTTCCTGGGATTCTGGCGCGATGCCTCCGTAGTTGAAACTCTACACAGGAAACCATGATCCTTGCCCAGCCTCCTGAGTCACCTTCTGTCTACACTTTACCTAAAAGTTACCCCAGATACTCCCCCATTTCGGGAGCTCGTGACCGACCTTCTCTTGATCCAAGCATACTGGTGAATGCATTTGAAAACGGCCAGCTCCCACAAAGCAGTGTTCTGGTATTTCTGAGGTTACCACTCGATTCAGCCTCTACGTATCTGTCCATATATCCCGTTACTTCTGAACTCACTTTACCTGTATATCCTCAAATACCCATAAATATCCACCCCTTCCTAGATGGCATTAAATTTCATTTTAGATGTTAGGTGACTCATAATTTCCATTTACTTTGTCTGTTGGCGAAATCATTGGCAGACATACATGCCCTTGAACTTTTCTTTAATTTTGTGAATTCTGCTAATCACTGTGTCTCTATGTTAGTCAGACTTAATTTTCTAGTGGCTACATCACATCTTTTTAACTTGAATTTTTTTGGAAATAGCTGAATGTAAATAGGGAGGAAGAAGCAAGCAAAGTTAGCGCTCTTCTCCATCCAGAATTGCCCTCTCAGGCTCCTTTGGTAACAAGGGGAGCCCCTTCCTAGCTTGGGGAGACCATAGGAGAAGCGGATGGTAGGAGGCCTCACTAATAATAGTCTCTGATTCTGTGATTTTGGGGCAATAATGTGTAGGAGTCCTCGATACCTTTTCATTGAGGATTACATATCAGTTCCTTTGTAGGCATGAACTTTCTTCATTCATTCAACAAGTATTTATTGAACACCTCCTACGTGCCAGGCACTTTGCCAGGTACCGGGAATACCACTGAGTAAGACAGACAAGGGCCCTACTCTCGTGGCGTTGACTTCTGGTGGAGGAGACAGATGATAAGCAAGTAAACAAATAAATAATGTAGTTTGAGGTAGTGATTAAGTGATACGGAGAAAATAACCTAGGGTGATGATTTAGAGCAGTGGGGGTGGGGCGGGGGGCAGTGGTAGGTAGCAGGCAGGGAGGCCTTTCCGGGGGCAGCACAGGGGCGGCTGCAGGGGGCTCGCGGTCCCGCCGGGGAGCTTCCGGAGCAGGAGGTGGCGGCCGGCGGTGAGGGCAGCGCGCAGCGGGGAGGGGGAGAGATACTGAGCTGCTCAGTATCCTGACATTTATAGGCCTTTTTTTTTTTCTTTTTTTTTTTTTTTTTCTGGCTAGATTGGTATTAAAAACTCATGTGGAGGAACTCAAGGAATGTTTAGAAGACCAAAAGTCCCCAATGACAACAAAAAGCAACTAATTTTTAACTTTGTTTCCCTTCTCATTCCTATTCTCGTTGATTTCCCACATGTAGTCCTTTTGCTCAGGAAGTCTTTGGGGAAATTAAGGCTCTTTGAAAGCTCTGAAATGGGTGTTCAGGTTAGCGGTCTCTGTCCACTGAGAGGTTGGAAAATGAACTACCCGAAATAGTCATCGAAATACTGAAACGAAGCTTGATTTTCTCTTCATATTTGAATTAATTTCTTCTGTTTGACTGGAAGGGTTTCTTGTATAACTAAAACCTCAATGCATAAAGGAGATTTAAAAGGAGCACATAACTCACTGGGTGAGCCATGAAACTGGAGGTGGGATTTGGGGGTAAAGTTGTTACCATCTGAATTTTGATCCAGACACATCTCTGTTAGCAAGCCCTTGGGAAGTTGCTTCTCATGTTTCCTCATTTTCGCAAAGAGAGGGCTGGCTTAGTTATTTGATAAAGCCCCTTCCAGGCCTGAATGCCTCGACTACGATTTACTGTAGTGTCTTAACACACTTCCATGTCACAGTAGTGTGGAGCATTAGAGAAAAGCCTAGACTTTTAGTTGATAGAGAGCCAGTTGAAATATCACTGATAGAATTTTAGGTTTAGGAAAAATTGGTTTGATTTCTAGCTGTATTACTGTTAGGTATGTGAGCTTGGGCAAATTGCTTAATCTTTGAGTCTAGTTTTCTCACGAAATGAGGACATTAGGCTAAATGATTTCTGAGTTTCCAGCTAGTCCTAGAGTTCTATATTTCTACATAGTTGAATTATTTTATCATGCTGTTGCTGGGGAATATGACTAACACTTTTGAAGCTACTAATTTTATGTCGAGCTTTAAAGTCCATAATTGTTATCTTTGGAAAATATTATTTGACCTACAGTATGTCCAAATCAATTTAATAAAATCACTTTATAACAGGGTTCTGTGCTTGACATGTGGTTGTGTGAATTCAGTGGTCAGTGTGTGTGTGTGTGTGTGTGTGTGTGTGTGGTGGCTTGTGCATTATGTCTAGGTGACGATATATAAAGTGAGGGGGCGATGCTGTTAATACTTAAACAAGGACAATAGGCCTAAACTGGGACTGCCCCAGCAAACCAAGTTGCGAGGACCCTCTGGCCCAGGGGTCAAGCAATTGACAAAGGAGTCGTGAGGTCTGGCAAACTGGAGAGAGCCTGCCCTCCTGAGAGGACAGCGCCTGCTCAGTGGTAGCTGTTTGTTTCCATGTGAGATACAGGCTTAAGGGTCCCGCATCATCTGCTCTTTTAAGGAAAAACCAACAATCCAGATTTTTACATAAAATTTAATGATTTTTAAAGGTTGGCAACGAATTCATGTTCCCTGTGTGACCCATTTTTGTCATTTGTATTACCTGCATGGTGCCCATAGGTTTTTCTTTCACTTTGCAAGCTGTGCTCTGGTCCCCGTTGGCTGTCTCCCACCCACGCTAAGGCCTGACACTTCTCAGCTAAGCAGTGGTGGCCCAGACCCCGCGCACCAGTCTCAGACAGTGGGTGGGTCTGGCGTCCACCTGCCTCTCGGGGCGAGTCTAGGCTCCGCTTCCATGGTTGAGGCAGAAGCCATCCAGACGGCCCTTTCTGTGTGAGTGGGGTGGGGCAGAGACCCCACGTGGGTCACACGTGGCTCAAGCTCTCCCACTGGGTCACTCCTGTGCCTGCTAGGAGTTAGGGTGTGAGAGAGAAAAGCCAGGGCTGACTTCACAGTTTCTAAGGGGAGCCCGAGTAAATGGCAGATTGTGTCTTTACGGTCTCTTACCTTAAGAACTCTTTCAAGAAGTCAGCCCAATAGCCTGCAGTGGTCTGCTCTAGAGAAGGTGGGTGCCCAGGCCAGTCGCGGGCCATCTGGAGGAAGCTGTGGGTGTGTCTTTGGTGTTGGCATGAGGCTTGGACACGATGCCTTCCGAGGGGCCTTCCACCTCTTGGTTCAGTTATCCCCCCCAGATTTAAAATTATTAAGCGAGTCTTTCTGTGCAACCTGCTGTTATCCTCAGGAATTTGAAAATAATAGGTGAAAGCAAGTATCAGCGGATGGAAAAAGTACTCAATGGTAAAATCAAACCCCGAGGAAGAGATGAGAAAGAGGTTGATACCATTACGGGGCAGGAGGCAGATATAAGTAGCACTGCCGAGTTGGTACATGGATTGAGATAGAGAGAGGAAACACGAAGGTGATACAGCACTTGCTCTGTGACCTTACTCAGTTTCTTCACTTCTCTGAATCTCAGGTTTCTCATCTGTAAGATGGTTTTGAAAATACCTAACCTGTGAGACATTTGAGAAAACTAAGTAAACACATATCAAGTGCCTAGCCTTTAGTAATGCAACAGAAAAATTATTGTTAATCCCAGGTGCCTATTAAGGAAGATGAATCGTGTTATTTGGAGTTCTTTGGGTCTGCTGAGCCCTGTGGGGGGTTAGGACATCTCAGTTTGGGGTGGGACCTGGAGAGGGCTGAACTGTTCCACGTGGTGAGAAAGCGAAGAACTGCAGTCTCCTGGGATAAGAAAGTCTTGAGACGAGAAAATACAGAGTAGACTTGGAAAGGGAGTCGAAGAGAGGGACCCAGCGGAGCAGAATGGTGTCAGGTTGCACACTTTCCTGTATGAACCCTTATGACCACAGAATCCTTCCCAAAAGGCTTGGGATGCTTGGTCTGAGTGGCTTTCTTATGGAAACTGGTGGAAGGGCCAGGTGCTGTGTCCAAACTGAAGTGGGCAGAACATGTAAGTACAACACTTTGAGAGACGCCGGGGCCCGGAGAGGGCGGCCCTGAGACGTATGCTCCGAGGATCGCACAGAAATTCTGGGAGAGCTTCCGGCTCCCACAGGCTGGGGTCCCCCAAACCCTACGGGCAGGGAGGCCTCCGTGTGTTACCCCTTGGTTCCCACTCCTGGTGTGCATAAGGCAGAGTAATTCTGAGGTCAGAAGGACATGAAAACATTGGAAAAAAAAGTCATTCTCATGTTATATTTTAAAATATTAAGAGGCACACGAGCAATTCCAGAGATTCCAGGGCTTTGTGTTTGTTAAACGTGTCAGTGGAGGTCTCGCAGGAAGGTGACGGTTAAACCAAAGTGCTTTTATTGTTCAGATGTAAGTATATGCAAATAAAATACATTTTTAAAGTAAAATAATAGCATATGTAAGTTGCTCTTACTGATTTTCAGGTGAATTTATACATTTTATAGCCTGTTTTTGTGTGTACCCTGCCAGTTCTGCTTCCTCGATGCCACTTCTGAAAATGGGTTCACTCAGACTCCCCCTTCTCCTTTGGAAAATGAAGCTGGCCCTGGCCCAGATCTTCTCTGCATCATGAATTATGGTAGGAGTGCCATGTTTAGAGAGCTTTTAAACGTAGCGTCTGTAGATGGTTTTCAGAGAGGTCCAGAACCTTCTTAAAGTGTATGCAGGGTTTTGTGTATCTGTGGGTATAGACGTTTTTCTAGGAAGGCGGGCTTTCCTATTTAATTTGGGACTCTAATGGATAAA